GAAGCATTTGACACAAACCTGGTAAGCATCAGTTGTAAAGCCAGATGCCTCTGGTACTATGTGTGACAAAATCTCATTTCTCTCCGGGGTGCTTGATAATAACAATGTATAAGGGCGTACATTACCACCTTCCATCATTGAAGGATGTGAATAAACTGATGAAAGCTCGTCCTCATCAACACTGCACAGAGCTAGAACAAAGAATATTACAAAATGAGTACAAAAACACAGAAGATAAAGAGAGTTAGACTTGGAAAAGTGAAGACTTTTCGAAGGCTTGATAAAGCTCCGTGGCTCTGCAGCGGCGTCAAGTTCAATAAGATTTAACGCAGGCTCTCCAATTTCCTCGACCTCAGCTTCTTCTGAAAAAGTGTCGTGGCGACTCCAATTAGAAGGTTGCTCCACTGAAAGCTCCAGGAAATAGTGTTACCAAAAAATGATGTGAAAATCTCAGTTATAAAAATAAACATGTGAATAATTATGTGTATGTATATATAAGCAAAAATATAGATAAAAAGAATAAGTGAATATATATATATATATATATATATATATATATATATATTTTAATCATACATAAAACTTGAAAATATCTAACATCTAGCAGGTTTTCCAGTAACCAAACCAGCAAGTATAAGCGGAGTGGGGGTCCAGTTATTTAAAAAAGAACTATTTACAGGCGCATCGATTGTTATATTGGCTATGCCCTTCATGTAACCTGTCATCACATTATAATTCTCGAAATCCCGTAGGAATGCATATTTGTGATAGAAAGCACTACAATACAGAACAGATATCACAAACAGAACCAGAAAATTTACTTGTCCCGAGCAGAGACATACCTAATTTCAAGAGATCACAAACCTCCCTAAGACAAAGCTATAAATTTCCATAAAAATAGCAAATAGCAAACTGCTAACCCTTTTCCAGTTTTTCTCGTTTTCGCTGTCTTTAGCAAAATGCAAGACGGTTTTCAACACAATTCCCTAGCTCAAACTTGAACGTAAAAATGTGAAGCATATACAACACTGTTAGTGGCTGATGAAGATAGCCATTAAAGGAATGAACCGTTAAGAACTGATTTAATAAAATTGCCGCTCGCAATTTCATACTTAAAGACGCCATTACTTATTATTACTAAACATCTCAAACAGTAGGGCACTGAAGATAATCTAGTGGCCAGCAATACTGTAATCCTAAATAGACTCAGGGTATCCTAAAAGCCTACGACCAAGCATATAACCAGCCAGCGATAAACAGAAGTATTAAGCAACTTAATCAAAGAGAACGTATCTATCAAACAACCAATTTGTTAAAACTAGATGACACTGTTTTCAAATGAAGAAAGATTTGCTCTTGATAGCTACGAATGCAATTTCGTTTCTCTTTCAACTCTTACAAAATAAGCTTGTTGCCTACAGAAGACCGCCTAAAAGACTTGGCATTCATTTAGTGATGATATCTATTAAAAATGCAAATGAAATAGTTGAGGCAACTCAGCATGATTGGCAAGAAAACCAAACAAAACGCTTCAACAAGACTGACACTGGCCGAGAAAAAAGCTTCCGCGATAAAGCACGATTCCAAGTTTCCCAGTCACCACCCAAAAAACCTCAGCAGCTATGAACTTAGGTCTTGCTACCTTCCCAGCGGCTATTCGAAGCTCCCCTTTCAAGATACCACTTTTCAAGACCATGAAAGTTCACTTTCATTAGTAATTATACAAAGCGACAATAAAACGAGAAATACCCTCTGACCATTGAAAAATTTCATAATCCTATGTCCTGCCTATGCCGGACAGACCCATTACATTACAGCCAGAATGAAATGTAAAAATTTATTTGGTACCTATTTAAACCAACAAAAAACTTCCTGAACCTTGTTATTTTGATTGTGAAAGTGGTATTTTGAAAGTCAAAACAATTATATTACAACCTATTACTAAAAATCAGTTCAGTCATCTACACTCTTCCATAAAAGCCCTGACAGTAAAAAACTTTTTATTGAAAGACTTAACCTTACCTAAAACTTTGAGGATCGCGGGCAAAGAGCCTCAGATAGTGTTCCATAGAATTTTCATTGAGGACGATGCGTATCCACGCCTACAAACCCAAATAAGTAACTATGATATCATAACGAAAGAGAGTAACGACTTAAGTGATATTTCAACTACAGCGATATGTTCAACCCAAGCGGATAATACAAAACCAACTCACAATATACATTTCTGTGACAGCATAAAAACAAAAGACAAAATGATTTACTCGGGCTTTGCCAATTTCGGTTCTGATCTGATTGAGGGAATCAATTTGCTGTTTTATCGACTTGTGAGTAAACTTATACAAGAATGGCCAAAAGTTCTGAAAACTGAAGAAAATCCAAAAGAAAAATTAAACAATGACAGTTAAAAAAGCAAGTATTAAAATTAATAAATCAAATCTTTGAGGTCTAATAAAAAGGACTTTTATGCGCAAAATTCTGCGATATGAAATGATATAGTAAAATGCCAAACGGCTCCAAAAAATAACATTTATTAAGAAGTCCAAAAATGACTATCCACCAACCGGTTCAGGATACTTCGCATACCGTGATCCCTTGACAAAAAATGGATCTTTCAACCCATGAATAAATATTGCTTCTATTACACTGCACAATGTTATAGTAGCTTCGCTGGAGAAAGATATAAAGATGAGAAATAAAATAGACATTTCGAAAAATCAACAGTTATGTAATGACAGCTAGGGAAATATGTTCACCTGGAAATGTAATCACCCAACGGAATTTCCAAAGCTGCGTTTTTTAGTGCCAGTTTCAATTCTCTACAGAGATTTGCCTTAATTTTATCGTTTGTTAGCGCCATCATTTACGCCGATAGTCATTGGACTAAAATAAAGCTAAAATAAAGTTGAGTGAATGAGCTGTTCATCACGCGATGAGTAGCCAAAACTTTGCACCTATTAGTGGGAGAGAATAAATGTACGTGGGAAAAAAGAAGACGAAATAAAAAGGACACAACAGAATACCTTTCTCATCAGAATAAAACTAAAGGCATTCTGTAAAATTATCATTAAATAATCAGAGATATGGAACTGTACAATTATCAAAAACAATGTGAAATGACGAAAAATTTGGACGCTGAAATTCCGAAGATGAAATACGTTCGCACGACAAATAACAAAATTTCCCTGCTTCCAAACAATACCGATATCATAAAGATAAAAAAAAAAGTTAACAACTTCCAAAAAAAAAATATGTATACATATATATATATATATATATATA